CGGCGCCGCGGGGCCGGGCAGCGCCCGCCGGCACCGCACGGGGCGGGGCAGCCACGGGCCGAGCCGGGCCGGACCGAGCCGAACCCGACCGAACTGAGCCGAGCCGAGCCGGGCCGGGCCGAGCTGCCCCGCCCGGGCAGGGCCACGCAGGCGCCGCCGGGACCCCCGAGCCACCCGCCCCGGCCCTTCCCGTCCCCGGCCGGTGCCCGCCCCTTGCCGGGGCTGCCGGGAGACGTAGTCCGGGCACGGCGCTGCCGTCCGGCTGCTCGAAAGGGGCTTTTGGGAAGGCTTGTTTGAACATCTCTCCCTCCTGAGAGGCACTCATGGAGAGATGAGGCTTTTCTGCTTCGCAACGCAGACTCTGCTAACACAAGCACGAGCCAGACTGGGAAAGCCGGCTCCCCCCAAGCTGCACAAAATATTACCCTTTTCATTTTTATTTTTATTTTTTGTTATCGGAACACCGGAACCCAGGCGCGCTTGACCAGCAGACAGAGCTCCTGCAGGACTCCTGGGCTGACCCACCCACACTGTGCCCGCAGCACTGGGGCACTGCAGGAAAATAAAAACCAAAACCATGTAAGGGCTGATTCACGAGCCACGTGGCCACAAATACCTACACAGCTTATTTTTTGTTGTTGTTGGTTTTTTTTTTCTTCCCCAGCGTGGAAGTAATTGTCAATGTTTCATCATCAAGAAAAAGCACGTGCAACATTTTTTTTGCATTGAGATACAACTTTGTAAGGGAGTGAGTCCCTGCTGAGTAGATCATTTCTCTCTGCCTAAGGCCCACACCTAGTAATATAATAACCAATATTTGAAGCCCTTTAGCAATAACAATCCTATTGTACATTTGAATTACAGCACTGAAGTTAGGAAGAGTGCTGCAGGATCAAACATCCAGGCTTTATATCCTTCAGATCCTTACTCGTCAGCACTGCAGCAAGGGATGTGATATTTGTTTCTGAACTGTAAAAAGTTTCTAATTGTCTTAACTCTATATAGAATGATAAACATCAAGCTTATTCTTCTGACAGTCCCCAGTGTTCCCCCATGCCATATTTATTGCATAGAGAAAACATGTAATCTGAAAATTTCCTATTTAGCCTATTCTTAGGCTAAAATTTTTTAAGCCTGTTTTTTTTTATGTCTCAAAGACGAAGCCTGCACTGTGTGAGCTGTTTTTGTGAATAAACATTTAAAACAGCTAGCAGAGAAACTTCAAAAGGGGAAGAAGGAGGAAAATTGAGAAATCTTTTATTATGAGGTATCTGTTATGGTGCTGCCAAGTCCAAACCTCTAAACCCCGTCCTTAGATGCTACATCCATGTTTCTTTTAAATACCTCCAGCGATGATGACTCCACCACTGCCCGGGGCAGCCTGTTCCAGCGCCTGAGAACCCTTTCTGTGAAGAAGTTTTCCCTAATATCCAATCTAAACCTCCCTGGCACAACCTGAGGCTATTTCCCCTTGTCCTACGGATGGTTACCCGTGAGAAGAGGCAGACCAGCACCTGGCTGCAGCCTCCTTCCAGGCAGTGGTGGAGCGCGATAAGCTCCCCCCAGGCCTCCTTTTCCGCAGGCTGAGTCCTTTCCGCCATCCCCCTCAGCGCCGTGCGAGCGTTCGCGGCTGTTCTGTTCCCCGCTGTTCCCTTAACTGCGGTCCCACCCCGCTCCCTCCGCGGGCCTCAGGCCGGGGGCGGTGCGCGCTCCGCGGCATGGCGGGCGCTTCGGCCCGGGGCCCGCTGCCCTGCCTGCTGTTCCGGCTGCTGCCGCTCCTGCTGCTGCCTGCCGCCAGCGCCGAGCCCGAGCTGCGCTTCAAGCCGCCTGCTGAGGCCCCCGTTCGGCTCTTCACCGAGCCCGAGCTGGCCAGATACGACGGGCACCAGGTAGGGCCGGGCCGCCGCTCTGCGCCGAGGCCGGGCCGGGCCCGCGCACCCTGGCGCTGCTGCCTGCCCTGGCGCTCGGCGCCCTGGAACCGCCGTGAAGCTCGGGTTTCATCGTGTTCTGCTGCTGTGCTGCCCCGCGATCCCTGCCTCCCTGTCCTTCTGGGCATCTCTTGCTTCTTGGGCAGCAGCCTGTGTGAAGTTTGCAGGCACCCGTGTGCTCCAGCCTCTGCCCCTCGGTCCGGCTGGCAGCTGCCGGGGTTGATGCTGCACACACACAATTAGATAATTGGGTGCCATGTGCCCATTTTACTGGCTCCCTGCTTGGCAAGGTGCTCCTGCCCGATAATTTCAGATTATCATGAGCTGGAGCCAAAGTTAATTTCTTCTCTCAGTAATTCATTAAACCATGTACTTTTTTTTTTTTTTTTTCTTTTTAAACCCCAAGATTATCAACATAACAAGGTGGTTTTAATTTAGGACTGTTTAGCTTACTGTGATTCAGAAGCCTCAGCAGAACTCCAGAGTCAAAACTATTGAGTCCTGTATTGATACACATCTGCTTCTCTTTTGAAATACTTGCTGTCTGACCTTCTCAGGGTCTTCTCTAGATACTTTGAAAACACTAACCAATGTCTGACTAAAATTACACCTTGTATAAAACACCTTGTATGTATAAAACACAAAGCAGAAGCATTGGCTTATTAAGTAAAACAGATATCACCAGATCAGATTTAGGTGTGTTTATGTATTATTTATATTTGTTTCTTAATCAATGCTGTTGGCCACATGCCCTTTTATTTTGAGCAATATCCATCTGCATTAGGAATAGAAAGGTTGATAATGTTCAAACAGACTAATGTGCAAATAAAAGGTGACTTGCAAAAAGGTCTTCCATGTCTTCCATGGTCATGCTGTTTAGATTAAAAAGATTCTCTCATTGCTGATGGTTAAATCCTCAAAGAATATTAGGGGCGGTTTAAAGCACAAGCAAGGAATGTCCAGAGAAGGTACATGTATGGTGGTATAACAAGAGTAAACATACAACAAAGAACTTGTGTCCTGAGAGCTTGTGGATTTCACAGCTAAAACTAACTGCATTTTGCCTGTGCTTAAGTGCTGAGGATGTATTGGTGGCTTTTTCTCCAGGAAGGACAGCCCATCTACCTGGCGGTGAAGGGAGTAGTGTTTGATGTCACCTCTGGAAAAGGTTAGTGAGCTTCTCCTCTGCTGTCTGCTTTGCTTTCGTGTTATTATTCAGTCATTTGTTTTTAAATATTCCCAGTGTGTTGGAAGCCTGCAGTTCAACTGCAACAAAAAGAGACACTTTTTCCTGTTCTAAAAAACTTGATTTTCCTCCTCTGACAGTTTCCCTACTAAGGTTTTGTCTAGAACTTAACACTGGTCTGAGATCACTGGATCAGACGGACAAGCCAGCACTGTCCAGGTAGCTTGGGCACTGCTAAGGAAAAGTGGAAGACACTTCCCAGATCCCTGAGTCCTTGCCAGATATGGGACCAGGCCACATGGGAGCTACAGCTTCTATTTTATTGCCCTGAATTGAGCAGATCAAAGCTAATGTAGATGTGCCCACTGTACAATATCAACACTGCAGCAGCTGCATCTTTGTGGGAGGACACTTTGTAAGAGAATAGGGATAGTGCTGAAGGCAGTCTTCCCCAATGAATTGTAGCTGTATTAATTACCAAAGAGTGGGAACAGCCTTGCCCTTAATGGGTCACAGTGAAGATAGGTGTTATAAAAGAGTGGGTTAGCTGGTTGAGAGGGAGTTGGAGCCTGCTGGTTGTGTTGTGAGGAGGTAGGGTCATGTGGTTGTGTAAGGGACAGAAAAAGCAAGATGCTATACGGGGACAGACAGGTTTAGATGGCTGTGTAAGGGACATGAAGGAGTTAGTTGGTCCTGCAGAAGAAAGACTAAGGAGGGAAGGAGTCTATGTTATGTGGTGCTGCCCATGGGAAAGGGTTCAGAGAAAAGGTAGGAAGGTTTTGCCTATAGGATAACTGATTGCCAGCAGCAGTCAGTCTGACACCACTGTCAATTGGTGCCCTGTGTGAGGAATGGGTGACTACAGCCAATGCATCTTTTCCTTCTGTGCAAGGTGTTCACACCCCTTGCTGTCTGTGCCCTCCCTGAGAAGTGCAGATGTTTTAATTTGAACTCCTGCTACTTAATCCAGATTTGCTATAAAAAGTTTGAAGGGACCCATGAAGGTCTTAGGTCTGAGGCACTTGCCTTGGTGTCATCATAAGTAAGCTAATGGCTTGTTACTGTGTTTGTACTAACCTTGTCTGGGTGTACGTGTTGGGTTGGTTGATCTTCAAATCCTAAATTAGACAAGGCTTGTAAATTCTGGAGTTTACAAACACCTCATGAGAATGTAAAGCACAACTCCCTAAATAATAGGAGAATTTTAAGAGTGCAATATAGGGAGTTCAACAGCTGCATAAGCCTAAAAAGCAGGGAATCCAAAGTCAGTTCTGGAAAGACGTCTTAGACTTGAGTTGTTGCTTTCAGTTCACAGGCTGGTGAAGGATAGAGGCTGAATATACCCTGTACATTGCCAGACCATCACTGTGTTTCTAAATTTTTAATCTGACAGAATTTTACGGAAAAGGAGCCCCATACAATGCTTTGGTTGGAAAAGACTCAACAAGAGGAGTTGCAAAGATGTCTCTGGATCCAGCAGATCTTACACATGACACAGTAAGAAAATGGGCCATCAGCTTAACTTCACTGCGAATTTTTATTATTATGCAAGATGATGAGTGATGATTTTAAATTGTTTTTATTTATATAAATTGATTCACATATTTAAATTCAAAATGCATTAGTTCTCTTTAGATACATAAAATATATTTACTGGTCATGAAAGGTGCTAACAGCCTTCAAGAGGAAAGTTTTTCATTTGTGGAAACAATACAACTTCTGTAAGCATGTAAAAGGGAAATCACCTGCTGTTTAAAAAGATGCTCACAAAGACAGTAAATCTCTTTCTTTGCCAGTTGGTTTGGTGTATCCTGACAGGGCAGTGAATGCTAGCTCTGGTGGTGAGTTGTTGCTTGTTTGACCTGAGTACCTTAAAGTTTTGTCAAGGCTGAATTTGAATGGAAAGAATACAATTACAGGCTATACTATCAATTTTGTTCATCATGCTCTGCACTGTAAACCCAAAAGCTGACCCTAAGGTTTACAGTCATCATTAAAAAAACCAAAAGCATGTAAATATCTCTACTTTTATTTCTTTGAGACAGGATTTCATTTCCCTATTTCCTTTAGACAGGACTCACAGAGGAGGAACTGAAGTCCCTGGATGACATCTTCAATAATGTTTACAAAGCCAAATATCCAATTGTTGGCTATACTTCTCGGCGAATTCTGAATGAGGATGGCAGCCCCAATCTGGACTTTAAGCCTGAAGATCAGCCACATTTCAGCATTAAAGATGAGTTTTGAGGAACATTTTGTATTTAGAGAATGCTTGGGGAGAGGCACAATAGAATATTAAATTAATTCCCTGTGTTGTGGAGTTCATTACTACAGTTAGTTGTCACGAGTCAGTTCTCTGCTCAGAAAATATGTGTGTGTATACACATAGCATAAAGGAAACAAACAGATCTGTAGTAGTGTCATACACCTGGGCTGATTGCTGGGAATTATGGGAATTATTTAACCTGCAAGTTCTTTCTGCCAGGGTTTCTCTGTTAAGAAGTGTATAATGTAAAATTACATTCCTTAGAAGAGAGAAGAAAGCTTTTAATAGTTGAAACATGACTGGTAGTTTTGTAAATCCCAGGTTGTTTCCCACTCCTTGGAAAAGTGTAAATGAATTATTTGGACAAGCTAACATCAATTCTCTGTGCTTCATGTGAATGTAGGTATCATGAGTACAGACAGGTGCAATAGAAGCTTACATTTGAAAAAGCATTCTGGGGTTTAATATTTGATGGGTTTTGAGAATACTGGATATAAAAGCTCTCAGTCTCTTCAAATGCAGTTACTGTGAAGTATTTCTGCAAAGCCTAGAGCTGTAAACTGAGAAAAATAAATATTTTTCCCTTATGAGGACTACTGTGACATTTCAAATAAGACTATTATGTTAGGTTTGGATAAAGGACACTTTACTTTTTAACAATAATTACCAAAGATGTCATCTATATTAGGTTATGGTGATTTCCTTCTACCTTCCTCCAATCTTTCTCTGACAAAAAGAGGAAATTGTAGCCCACAGTTTGCGACATACTCTTACAGTCTGAGTTTATTATGGCTGTTTAGTGTCCTGTGGATGTTGTTAGCATATTTGTATTAACATTTTCAGCTCTCTTTTTTTTTGTCTCTTAGTTTTTCTTTGTTCTTACCCTGGCTTCATCACTGCTGCTTTAATGAAGTGTGCAATGCCATTTTCCTCCTCCTCTTAACCTGAGGCAAAACTGCAGGTCCTGCAGGGTGAAAGCAGACCTCTTTATGGCATTTTCCTGGCAGTCTTTCAGCAAAAAGAAGACTGGAAAAGCCTGAGCTGTATAAGTTGCTGCTAATCCCAGACTTTCACTAACTTAAGTAGAATGTGAATTGTCCCATACGTGGATTTATCTGTCACCATTTTGATTGCTATGGGAAAAACAAAGCAGCTGCTTCTAATTCTGTATTAATAATACAGATATAATAAAAATATGATTGTGTATTATTGTTCAATTTCTTAAGCATTTTGGTAACTTTCTATGAAGGGAAGATTTTATGAGATGATTCTCCACCTTCTAGTTTGCAGGGGACAGCTGCCTGTCAGTTGAATAACTAGAAAAGCTGTTTCTATGTATTTGCCCATTCTTTCACAATGTTACAGATGTTATTCTAGATTTGTTTTGTCTCTCACTATTAGACCACTTTGTTTGCAGGAGGGGCTCTATGGGCCCTTCCACTGTTGGATGGTGCATTGAGTAGAAAAAATAAATCAGCATCTAAGAAATTACTATTGCTTCAGATAATTATTTTTGTATTAGTGCTTATTATTATTACTGCTCACCTCCTGATTAGAGACCAGCAGCTGGGAGTTTGCTCCTTGATGATACCTGTTGTCTTTGTGGGAATGCACATGGGTTTGGGGGTTAGTTGGTTACCAACATTTCACAAATAATACTTCATTGCCTACTTTTTTTTTTCTCTTCTCCTTTCCTTGCATACTTCCTGATGGGGCAGCTTCAGTAGTTGTCCTGCTGTGATTACTGCAGAAGTCTTTGCTTCATCTGGGATCATGATATCCAGCTGCATTTCAAAAAAAACCTTCTATCTCAGTTGCAGCTCATCACTGCTGAGAGGCTCAGTGTTCCTGTTCTTTCCCTGCTTTCCCTGTTCTCCCTATGAAATCACCTTTGCTGATGTCAAAGCAGGTAACTCAGCTTTTGCTTGTACTGAATTTCAGGTTCTTTTCAGTGAGGAGGTGCTCCTGTTGCAACAAGAAATGGGGATATAAAACCCCCTCCTGTAATGCAAGATCCTCACAAATCCAACCTGCTTTCACCCTGTCTGTGAGGGAGATGCTTTAGTCCTTCCTTTCTGTTATTAAAGACAAGGTTTTCACAACTGAGTACACTTGAATGCAAAACATCTCCTTTTTGGTTTTATTTCCATTTGGAAACTGAAGGTCTCACATTTAATGACCTCCTAGGCTATTTCACTTAGGCTACTTCACTCAATAGAATTGTTACAACAACAAGGCTTTAAGTGGACACATCCTTAATGCTTTTTCACTGACTGCTTCTTAAAAATGCATTCAGAGTACCACAGTATTTCTTTTAGTGTTAGTTCAACAACACTATTTTATGTCTAAGGCTGTTTTACTTGCCAATGGCCTGAAATTGATTTTGCTTTAAAGCAAACTGTCAGCTATGGCTGCTTTGTTCAGGCAGCTGCATTTCCCTGACCTCTGTATTATTCCAGCATAACAGGTGCCCTCATGATCTATAAATTGCACTCAAAACAAGCAAGCTGTGCAAAGCCCTATTGTAGCCCTCCTACTCCACACCTCCTTTGGAGAGTCTAGAATTTCTTTTCAATTTTCTTACTGCTTCCAGATAACATTGCAAATGCCATTATTTTTGCTGTGTGTTTCCAACATGCATCTTGCTAACTTAGGTCTAAGGTTTTAATGAATTGCTGCACCAAGAATTGCCTTCCTTTAGTATTTAATAATAGTTTATTCTTCAGAATGTTAAGTATTATCAGATGGGTTCACTTACCTACAGAATGCATAATCTCAGTTGGTATTTCTCACCTGGCACTCTTTTCAATAGTCCCTCACTTTGACCCTAACACATTTGTGACAGGATAAATTCTATCATCCCTACCTTAAGAAGGATTTCTCTCATTAGCAACTGAAGCATTAGGACTGCAAGTGTAAGCAACAAAAAATCAGTAAAGGGTTTATGAAATGCAAATCAAAGTATTCTCTTTATTATTTTTTTTGCAGTTGTAGAGAGTGCAGTAAAGAAAAATCCTCCTAAGAATGTGTTATTAGTTATTGCATCCTAATCTAAACGAGACCACCTGATGGAATGCAGGGGCTCTGAATCCTGCAGACTGAGCAGCTGAGATTTTTCCAAGAATTTAGGATAAAACAAAGTTATTTCTTTTCATAATGTGTATATAGACACAATTTTTTTGTACCCCTTTGCCAGAATATGAGTCTTTCATTGACTTAAATCAGGTTTTGTGTTGGTTTTCTTCTGCAGAAAAGACCTTGTGGTTCTTTGAAAACTGCAGCTTAGGCTATTAACTTTGTGGTCTGATGGTACCACTGGCTGTGAATTCATTGCAACATCAGCATAGGAATCAATGTGGGATCACAGTTCAGACTGCTCTTGTCAGACCTGCTAGACTTCCATGTTTCAGTAAAAATAAAAAGTAAAAAAATAAAAAGGATGGTGCTTTAGAATGGAAGAAGCCTCAAAACAGTGTGTAAATCAATTCCTTTTATTGTTGTTTCAAAATCACTATTAGTCACTACATCAAACAAATGATAGCTTGGAAAGGTGTTAAATCACTGTAGTTTTCCCTTGTAAGACCCCCAAGAACCTGTAGAACAAGAAAAATTGTTTAGATGACTTTCAAATATGTATTCTGTCTCTTATAGCTTAATATATGTATCTGAAATGGGCTCAATGTAATTTGCATTTGCTCAAGAGAAAATGGAAGAGATGTGGAAAGATGCACTTAGGAAACCCAATGCTAATTTTTCAGCTACTCTGGTTGAACTGAAAGGAAAAAGTGAAAAAAAACACATCTGACTACTTCTGTGGGTGAAAAAGCTGCCATTCAGAAGGATTCAGCTGCACATCAGGAAGATGTGCTAAGCAGTTCTGATTAGTATTTGCATATTTTCAGATGAACACTAGACATACTGAAATCCCAAAATTGACATAAGTGATGACAATCACACACTTTGTCACCCATCATCCATTTATTCCTTTGCCTAATGTTTTCCTGTCCATGCATTTATATGACAAATCTGTGCCCCATAAGTAATATTCACAAAAACGCAGATGAACCTATAACCTGGTATACATAATAGCAATTTTCAAACAAACTAGTACTTGTCTGTGAATGCTTTGAAATAAACAAAAAATCGCTAAATTTTTAGATTTATAGCACTTCACTCAGAGCTCTGTCTGTGAGTGCCAGTTCAGACTATTATAATTTACAATGTATCTGTCTGCTTTGGTAGAAAAATCAGTGCTATATTCAAAGGGTGATTTTTTTCCCCTCTATATTCAGTCAGGGTGTCAAAGACCTGGGTGTATGATAGGTGGGCATCACTGCTAGAAGTACTCTTAACAGCATAGGCATTATTTTGACCTTGGTATGTCCAAAAAAACTCTTAACCCAGAAAACAGAATGGGTGGGAAATGAGAATTTATCTTAGTGTGCTACTGGGACAACTTATACTGGCAAGGTAGATCTGGCAGAGCAGGTCTGATAGCAGTGCTTCCTATTTTTGCTTCTGTCAAATATAGCCAATGATAACAATGTAAACTTGTACCCTTATCCATCTCTTAGGCTTTACATAACACCTTCTAGTTTAGCTTTTTTTTTCTGTTCAGTAGAAAGTGTGAGTCCTGATTTACTTGTTTACAAAACTTACACTTAAATCTTGGCTTGGGTAATCTCTTGATGAGAAATCTAAACTAAGAGAAACCGAGATTAATGTTCTGTGAAAAATAGAGCTTGTGCACCTGGATGAATTGCAGAGCCACAGGAAACACACTTGAATAAACAATTTCTTTTAATGTTTCCTGTAAGTTATTTGTAGCTGTTGCCATCAGAAATTTTGTACTCTTGATGAATGTTCAGCTTACCATGTTCTGCAGTACTTCTTGACATGACTCTTTATCATTCTGACATGAGATATTATCCTTCTGAGAAGTGAAAAGTTTAGAAGAAACTGGGTACAGGCCATCTTGGAGATAAGCCAGCCAAGAGAAATCAAAATATGACCTAATTTTCCCTCTACTTAAAGAAACTTCTCTGAAAGAGGAAAAGAAATCACTGCCCCAGGGTCTATATTTTACCTTCCAGATTTTGCTGAAAGTTTTCCCATACTGTGCAAAGGCAGCAGATAAAGCCTTGAAAAAGACTTGAATCTAAACCCTTACATTGTGAAAAATTTAATCCACTTCTTTGTGTATCCCCTGGGGCTTTAAAGATTATGACAACTCAGATAGTGGTGTACAAAGAGTCAAACACACGAACTGAATCAAGCCAGGACTTAGCTAGTAGGACTGTCTGAATGTAGAGCTGAAACTTAGAGCTTTCACCCATCTTCTGTAGTCAACAGAATCTTTGAAGGAAAAAAAAAAATCTTTAAAGGTAGCACTTGTTTCAGCCAGTTTGGGCAGACAGAATTAGATGATGGCTGAAAACTTCCTCGTGCCTTGTTCTGTGCTGCTTTGCAGGGATTCTAAAATCATTTGTGTTGGATACACAGAACTTAGTTACCAAGCAATTCACTGCCTAGAGGATAACTTTATAGATTAAATTGATAACTGGTTCAAAACAGCCACAGGCAGATCAGGAGTATCCTAGGAAGGTTATTTGCCTTGTTGGGGGCTGTGGCTCCATAGCCTTTATTTTACATGGCAGATAAAAGCCCAGGTAAACTCAAAATTATTCATTACATTTATCCCTTTATTAATTTTTGAAGTTTGAGCAAAACTTCTAAAAAAATTTACTAATAAGAACAAATATTATTCCACAAAAAAGTAAAGTATTCATTCCGAACTGTGCAGCACACCTAAGTAGACTTAAGGCAAAATTGGTTAATGAAAGATATTACATGTTTAAATTGAGATTACATTTTCAGATAACATGTTTTGGAAGTGCTCAGGCATTTCAAGGGTTTTTCCTTATTTATTGTTTAACTGTGCCCGTACTATAAAATAGATGCAAGACTTTTGAAGAATAGGGCAGTAGGACTTTCAAGGCATTTGTGAAGTATTTTCATATCACACAAAGACAAATGTACACATGCACCTGAGATACACAACAGACAGATCCAGCAATTTAGACAAAGACAACAGTCTTACACAGTCTTTTAAAACATGTTGCATTTCTTAAACTGAACAGGTCACAAATAACACCCTGACGCAACAAAAATGATAGGCAGAAATTAGCTCGTAGGAATACCTGAAAAACTCTCAGTATTAATGTGGGTAAAAGACCAGCCTATCAATTTTAGTGAACTTGAGAGGATTTTAAGAACATTAGTTTAGCAGGGGTATTTGGTATGGGCTGAGCCTCTGTGATTCTATGCATTAAGTATTATTATTGTCCCTAACATCCTTCCCTCAATTCCTCTGAGTTTTCTCCTTTGAGTTTAGCATCTCTTGCAGCTGGGAGAAAACAGGCTGCTGAAAGGTTCAGATGTGGAGCAGCAGCGTATCAATGGAATATAATGATGTGAGGCAGAGCAAAGGA